CCAAGCTTGTTGTAATCAGGGAGCTCCCGCCCACACTGTCCGCATTGAGTAACCAACCATTAACGCATTTGACACATCAGTGTCACAGTGTGGAAGCCTTAAATTAAGCAGTCATGTTAGGCCAAGCTCTCTGTGAAGGCAGAGAGAATATTCCAATGCCTCCAGGGATTGCTGGCATTTCTTAATTTGTAAATCTGTCTTTATATGGTGTTCTCTCATTTCTGTGTTTTTCCTCTATTTATAAAGATATTGGGTATTGAAATAGGGCTTACCTCAATTCTGGGATGATTTAATCTTGAGATCCTTCAGTAATTAAATTTGCAAAGATGCACTTCCCAAATTAACTAACTTTTGGAGTTTCAAGTATAGTGAACATGAATTCTGGGTTCAGGAATTCTACTCAAGTCTTGGAAGTTTTGGAAGACTCAACCATGGAAACTAAGCTTCTACACACTAGTGGAAATCAGGACATTCTTAATGGATAGAGTGAAGATAGCATCAACTGGCTAAAATAATCTGAATATAATTATTGAGCTCAGAACCTGAGTAACATTTGGAACTTTGATTAACATGCAATGGTTAACAGATCCTGATGTTCCTAGGAGTAATATAGGTGGAGAACACACTAGGGTTTTTAAAAATGAAGCTGGAGATAGAATGATTGAATTTTGCACAATAATGACCTATTCACTGCAAATACGTTTTATAAGAAACATAAATGCAGTTTACACACATGGATTTCACCTGATGGTATGCATAGGAATCAGATCGATTATATCTGTGGGGAAAAAAACGCTGGAGAAGCTCAATATCAGCTGTGAAAACTAGGCCAGGAGCTGATTGTGGAACAGACCACCAACTACTCATATGCAAGTTCAAGCTGAAGCTGAGGAAAATTAAACCGAATCCACAGGAGCCAAAATATGACTTTAATTTCATCCCACCTGAATTTCAGAATCATCTCAGGAACAGGTTTGAGGCCTTGAACACTAATGAGCGAAGACCTGAGGAGTTGTGGGAGATTGTCAAATGTATCATCCAGGAAGAGTGCAGACGGTCATTACAAAGACAAAAGAGGAAGACAAGACCAAAATGGATGTCAGAAGAAACTCTGAATATTGCACTGGAGTGCAGAGAAGCCAAAGCACAAGGAAGAATTCAAGATACTAAAGAGCTGAACAGAAGATTCCAAAGGGCAGCAAGGGATGACAAAGCAAAATATTACAACGAAATGTGCAAGGAGCTGGAGTCGGAAAATCAAAAGGGCCGAACTCGCTCAGCATTTCTTAAGCTCAAGGAACTGAAGAACAAATTCAAACCTAGAGTTGCTATAATCAAGGATGCTTTAGGCAGAATATGAAATGATCCAGGAAGTATTAAAAGAAGATGGAAAGAATATACTGAGTCACTGTAACAAAATGAACTGGAAGACACAGAAGAATTTAATGAAATCATATCTGAGCAAGAGCCTATGGTGATGAAGGAAGAAATTCAAGCTGCTTTGAAGGAAATAGCAAAAAATAAGGCCCCAAGAATAGATAGTATACCAATTGACGTATTTCAGCTAACAGATGCTGCCCTGGATGTGCTCACCAAGTTGTGCCAAGAAATCTGGAGAACAACCACTTGGCCAACTGACTGGAAGAGATCTATATTTGTTCCCATTCCAAAGAAGGGTGACCCAACTGAGTGTGGAAACTATAGAACAATATCATTGATTTCACATGCAAGCAAGATTCTACTGAAGATTATCCAAAAATGACTGGAACAGCACATCAGCAAAGAACTGCCAGAAGTCCAGGCTGGGTTTAGAAGGGGTCGTGGTACTAGAGATATTGTAGCTGATATTAGATGGATCTTAGCTGAAAGTAGAGAATACCAGAAGAATGTCTATCTGTGTTTCATTGACTATGCAAAGGCATTTGACTGTGTGGGTCATAACAAACTGTGGTTGACTCTGAGAAGAATGGGAATCCCAGAACACTTTCTCGTTCTAATGCGAAACCTATCCTTGGACCAAGAGACAGTCGTCAGAACAGAGTAAGGAAACACTGCATGGTTCAAAATTGGGAAGGGTGTATGCCAGGGATGTGTACTATCTCCATACCTTTTCAACCTGTATGCAGAATAGATTATCCGAAAGGCTGGGCTCTATGAGGAGAAGTGTAGCATCAGGATTGGTGGAAGATCTATTAACAATCTGCGTTATGAAGTTGACACAACCCTGCTTGCTGAAACTGAGGAGGACTTGAAATGCTTGCTTCAGAGGGTTAAGGACTGCAGCCTTCAGTATGGATTGAGGCTCAATGTCAAAAGACAAAGATTCTCACCACTGGACCAATTGACATCAGGATGGATGGTGAAGAGATTGAGACAGTTAACAACTTTAGTCTGCTTGGCTACATGGTCAACACTCTTGTCACCAGCAGCCAGGAAATAAAAAAAGTATTGTGATGGGAAAGTCTGCTGTTAGGAACCTCTCCAGGGTACTGAAGAGCAATGGTGTCACTCTGTAGACTAAGGTGTGTCTGATACAGACTATGGTCTTTGAAATCATTTGTTATGCATCAGATAGTTGGGCAATGACTAAGGAGGACAGAAGGAGAATTGATGCCTTTGAGCTGTGGTGCTGGAGAAGAGTATTGAATGTACCATGGACTGCCAAAAAATCAAACAGATTCATGCTGGAGAGGGTTAAACCAGGCTGCTTCTTGGAGGCAAGGATTCTGAGGCTTTGTCTGAAATACTTTGGACATGTTGTAAGGAGGGAGAGGTCCTTGGAGAGGGACATCATGCTTGGAAGGGTGGAGGGACGATGCAGAAGGGGAAGACCCTCTATGAGGTGGATTGATTCAGTGACTGGGGTTATCGGGATGGGTGTGTCAGAGGCAGTGAGATTGGCACAGGATAAAGCAGGGTTTAGGGCTGTTGTACATAGCATCGCTATGAGTCGCAAGTGACTCAATGGCACATAACAACAACAAAAACAATAGAGATGAGACCACACACAATTCTCAGTGGTGGTATAGACTCTAGAATGTTACACTGGTGACTAAATTACGACACATCTCTAGTGGTTCAAAGCCATCAGTATTTTTGAAAGAGAAACGGGAAGTTTCTTCCCATTACAGTTTACAAACTTTTAAACTCAATGAATGAATGCTATGAATTGGAGTTTACTAGACAGTTTTGAATTTGAGTTTCTCAAAGTTAAAGGAAAAGAACACTTAAGTTTGGGTCCCAAATATTTTGCCATGTTCTTTTTAGTTTTCCAAGTGAATGACCATCATCACCAGGGAAGACTGAGTTTTAAGGCACAGTGCCTCTCCTTCACAATACATTCAAGTTGTATACAAAATGTTTTAATTTTTTTATATCAGAAGTGTATATAATGAATATACAGATATAGCACATATTAGTCTTTAGTCATTAAGTAAATCAATAAATATTTTTATTTGGTTTTCACAATTACTTGCTATATACATCAGAAAGTTTGACAATGATTAAAGATGACAGAGGAAGAATCAATGCCTTTGAGTTGTGGTGCTGGAGAAGAGTATTGAACATGCTGTGGATCACCAAGAGAACAAACAAGTTTGTCTTGAAGAGGGTGAAACCAAGTTTCTGTTTAGGGTTAAGGATTTTGAAGCTCCATCTTACATAGTTTATGAATGTGGCCAGGACAGAAAAGTCCTTGGAGAGGGACATCATGCTTGAAGGGTGGAAGGACAGCATAGGAGAGGAAGAGCCCGGATGAGATGGATTGATATAGTAACTGGGTCAGTAGGGGTTGGTGTGTTGAAGTCAGGGGCTCTGGTTCAGGATAAGGCAGGGTTCAGAGGTGTTATACATAAGGTGCTATGAATCGCAGGTAACTCTAAGGCACATAACAACAATAACAACATTTACTTATATAAAAATAAAATTGTCTTCGAATAGGAACTCATAGTTGACCCTGCAGCAGGTTTTTTGATGCTGTAAATCAAATGAGAGGAAATTGTCCTTTCCCCCCCCTGCGGACAAAAATGTATAAATTTGCTCTTAATATTAAATATTGTGGAGAGATTTTAAAAATCAGCCTCATGAGAGATTTTAAAAATCAGCCTCATGTAAGAGAGTAAAACAGCTCCATATGTATTTGGTTAAAAGCATTATGTAAACAGATTACTAGTTCTCATGTAGTGCCTGGGTAAATTCAAATTCCTAACCTTTTAGGAAGTAACCCAGTGCCCAATTATTTGTGTCTTCAGTACTGGTACCATAAGCATATATAGACTTGTACCTATGAAAATATCTGCTGTTCTCCTGTAATTCTATCAATATATGTCCTTGAATATGCCAAAATCTTACACTCTTCTGCTTTTTTCAGTTGTTTTATCTTTTCTTTATTCTCTATATTTGCACTTACCTGGAACATTTCTGGAATGACATTTAGGTATCAGAAGTACTAATAAGTCCAAAGAGGAAACCAGCATTGAAATATTTCACTATTAATCACTTTGGAACGAAAACTTTACAGGCTACTTTGTTTCACTCACTTCCATTATGTTTCGTTCGTTGTATCCTTTGCCTCTTTTTTCTTTTGAACACCAACACACAACGCGCTAATCTTCGAAATGTAATAGTGTGATTATCGCGCTCATATCGGAAGCCACGCCCACAGGTTTACGACAGGCGTAGTTCTGCCGTCAGGCTTTCCCACCAGCTGTTTTCTAAATCTTTTCCTTTTTTTTGCCGTTAGATTGGGTAGAGTTCACTTTCTATCATGGGCTGACAACCAGGAGTCCTAAAGACTAGGACTCACAGGTCTCTTTCACTCAAATGTGACTCGTTTCCAAGAAGGAAGTCTGGGCAGCTGAGGACACGCCCCCAAGCCCGCGCCGTGGTTTCCTAGGGAACGATGCGCCGTGCAGGGCCGGGCTGTGTGCGCGTGCGCAGAGCTTGCCCTTTGCTGGAACCTGGAGGAATGGCTGTGTGTGTGTGTGTGATTGAGACCGATGATGGCCCATTTCTCCCGCGAAGACGAGGCGATGCTGCAGGCGATGCTGAGGCAGTTGTTCCAGAGTGTGAAAGAGAAGATCAAGGGTGCTCCTTCCCTGGAGTGCGCCGAGGAGATCCTGTTACATCTGGAGGAAACTGATGAGAATTTTCACAAGTAAAATTACTTTTGATGTCTTAAGCAAACAAACCAACTGACCCAGGAAAGATCAAATGTAGTTATAGAAACCAACATTTTTGTGATTATTATTAATATGGTGCTCACGTTAGAGATTCTTCCCCGCCCTTTTATTTACCGAAATACTGAATTTGCCATTTTTTTTCTGCACTAATGTTTATCAACGTTTATTTGTTTTCCCTGCTGCACTCGATATATTGCTGATTCTCTGTTTTCCCTGGTCGACTGTAATTTCTAACAATAGGCTCTCAAGATCTTTTTTCCTTTACTTTAAATCCGATTATTTGGGCTGGGGTAATTATCAACTCTGAGTCCTGTAGGGAAGATCGAAAGGAAAAGGGGATTAACTTCCTCGGAAATAGCTTGAGTTCTTTTAAGAGATAAAGCACAGACTCCAGTGTTGTAACATATGTTGCAAATATACGCTCCTTAGAAGAGCCTATTCTTGGGGGAGTAGAAAATGGAAGTTTAACCAGGGTGATAGGTCATTTAAAGTAGGTGCTACTATAGATTCCTACGATTTCATTTTGATTTGTTTCCCACAGTTTAAATGAACCTTCTCAGTTTAATAATGATTCATGATTATTGGTAGTTCTTGTTGGATACTGACGGATCGGAACCATAGAAAGGACTCATAGTTGACTTTCCAGAGGGCTTTTAGAGGCAGTGAATTGCCCGGGGGCGAGTGTCCTTCTTTCTCCCTTGTAGCTTCTGATAGATTACAACCACGCCGCACATCTGGGTTGTCACCACACTTCCTTTTCACTAAGCCGCCATAGCGCCGTATTTACATTTTTATTAAATTATGCATTATTATTTTATTAAATTATTATTAGGATGACATTTCCTGTTTTGGAGGGTGGATTGGGGGTGTTTTGTTTACCAATTTCTTGATAATGCCTTGAAATTCTACTTGTGGAACTTGGGGAAATTCGTATGGATTTCTTATAGGAATTGGAAAAATCTTTAAAGTTTGTAATTGCAGCTGTTTTAGGGGTTAGTTTATCGTTTTTATCTGTTTCTCAAGGAATTTTTAAAGTTAGACATGAATTCTTATTAATACAGATTATCTGATTTCTCTCATTTCTGGTTCTGCCTATGATTTCTAGTTCCATGATTTTCCTTATTTCCTCATTGTATCAAGAATTAATAGCTGTTATTGAATGATGGTGTTCTTCATTTTGGAGGTACCGGAGACCAGGGTTTTTTTGTGTTTTTATAAAAGATAAAATTCTTTACTGGTTTACTTGCAAAGTTTGTATATATTGTTTTCACACCAGATCTTTCCCATTTTCTTAACTTACCCCGTCCTCCAGCCATCAAATTGTGCGACCTTATGATTCCCTACTCCTTTCATCCTCCCCTCTGGCCCCCCTTAGGTCCTCATGTATATTTTACTAGTTACCTATACCTACAATAATGGTATACAGTTTTTTCCTTTTGGGACTGAGTTAGTTCACTTAGCATAATGCAGAGACCAAGTTTTATTGTTTAGTTACCACATTCAAGTAAAATCTTGCTGAAGATTATTGAAATATGGCTAGAGCAGTGCATGGACAGAGAACTGCCAAAAATTCAAACTGGATTTTTAAGAAGTTGTAGAACCAGAGATAATAATTTCTAATGTCAGATGGATCTTGACAGAAAGCAGAGAATGTCTTCCTCAGTTGTCATCATGATTATCTGCTAGAACTTTATTAACCATGACAAGACGTTCTCTAACTTTTACAGTCAAGGAAGGACTGTGCCTATAGATTTAAGGAAGATAGTAAGCTGAACAGAGAATATGACTTACTCATTGGTGGAAAAACCTTAGCTGAAGGCCCCAGTGGTGAAGGAGCTGAAAGCCTTGTATTGACTGGTGTTGACATAGCCCTAAACTATCACTTCTAGGGAGCACAAGAAGTGACAGCAAGGATTACATGAAATTAATTGAAGGAAGCCTTGAAGACTAGAGACCAGAATAAAACCTTTCATAACAGGAGCTGCAGAACAAATTAAGTGTATCCTTGAGAGGAAGACCTCCAGCAAGATGGATTGACACAGTGAGTGTAGCGATTGTTTGAGCAAATCAGGAAGATGTTGCAGGATGGAGCAGGATTTATATCTGTTGTTCATCAGGTTGCTGCGACGTAGGTGACTTGATGGCACCTAACAGCAATATGACTTGAAGCTCAAAATCAAAGTAATGAAGATTCTCACCACTCGGCCAATTGACAGCATCATGATAAATGGAGAAGGGTTCAAGATTTTTAACAATTCCACAATCAACACTTTCACAAGCAGTCAGAAAATCAAAAGACGACTGAAGAGCAAGGATAGCATTCTAGAGACTAAGGTGCTACTGATCCAGGCCTTTGCAGTTACTCCATGGTCTTTGCTATGCATCAGAGAGATGGACAGTGACCAAGGATGACAGAAGAAGAATTGATACCTTTGAGTTGTGTTCCTGGAGAATGTATTGAACAGATTACCAAAATAACTGACATATCTGTCCTGGAGAGGGTGAAACCAAGTTGCTGCTCAGAGGCAAGGATTTTGAGATTTTGTCTCACATACTTTTATGCATATTGCCAGGAGGGACTACCTTTGATGAAGGATATCATACTTGCAAGGGTTGAGGGACAGCACAGGAGAGGAAGACCTCCAGAGGGATTGACACAGTAACTGGGGTAATGAGAATAATACCTATCTTCACCATTGTTGTTTGTTGTTGTTATGTGCCGTCGAGTCGCTTGCCACTCATAGCGACCCTATGTACAACAGCCCTAAACTCCACTCTGTCCTGTGCCAATCGCACTGACACTCCCATCCCAATTATCCCAGTCACTGAATCAGTCCACCTCATAGAGGGCCTTCCTCTCCTGTGCTGTCCCTCCACCCTCCCAAGCATGATGTCCTTCTCCAAGGACCTGTCTCTCCTCACAACATGCCCAAAGTATGTTAGATGGAGCCTCAGAATCCTTGCCTCCAAGGAGCCACCCGGTTTAACCCTTTCCGGGACAAATCTGTTTGTTTTCCTAGCAGTCCATTAGAGACAGTGATATTGACAGTGATAGAGCAGAGTTAGAGCTATTGTGTGTAGGATTGCTATAAATTGGGCAACTCAATGGCTCATAACAACAACCACCAGTTCTTTATTGGTGAAAGCAAGGAATCCAGATGGTATGGTTATTCAGTTTGACTACCGTGATAATAGTACAACCTCATATCTAATTTTCTTTATTGGTGGTTTAGAAATGAAGAAATGTTAACACATGTGAGTTCTTTAGATCCATCATCCTTCTTCTTATCTGGCTGTTGCTTTTCATCCAATACCACTATCCCTTAGAATAATGAGAATGATGTCATGTCAAGCTTGTTACTTATTTTGACCTTATTTTATATTTGACAGAAATAGTAAATAAAACAAAAGTGAGTAGGTTTTCTAAGAAGAAGATACATTTAAGCTTAGATGAAAAAAAATTTAATAATTTCAGAAATCTAAAGGCAGTTTGCTATGAATCGGGACTGATTCAATGACAGTGATCTTGGTTTTGTTTGGTTGTGTAAATGTTTAGCATTTGAGTGCTAACATAAGGCTGATAGTTTGAATATACCAGCAGCTTTGTGAAAGGGAAAAAAAAGCCGATGATATGCTCCCCCCACACCCCTCCCAAAGATGATAGCCTAAGAAACCCAATGAAGCAGTTCACCTTCATCCTTTAAATTGCAGTTGACTGGAAGAGAATTAGCTGTGACCTTATTTTTGTATTTGTTTTTTAATTTCTTTTTTAAAATAACTCAACCAAAAACCAGACAGAAACTATCAAGCCGGACAAAACAACAAACCAGCCAGACTTAAACTATAAATAGCTTGTACTAGTAAAAATAAAGACAATAAACTCTAAACATTAGCTGCACTAGCCTGGTATTTGTGTCTGGTTGATTGATGTTGTTGGGCGCAGTTGAACCCACTCTCACTCCTAGCGAGCCTGTGTACAACCGAACGGAAACCTGCTGTGTCCTGTCCTGTGCATCTTTGTTGGTTTTTTTTTTTTTTTTTTTTAGCATCTTTGCTGTAGTTGATAAAGTCCATTGGTGAATCACTGTGCCTATCGGTGAATCACTGTACCCATCTGTAATCAGTGTGCCCATCCATCTCCTTGAAAGTCTTCGTATTCTTTTCTGAGCTTGTACTTTCCCAAGCATGATATCTTTTCCCAAGCATGACCCCTCCTAATAACATGCACTGACGGCGTGAGACTAAGTCTCACCATCCTTGTTTCTAAGAATGCACTCTGGCTGCACTTCTTCCAGGATGGATTTGTTTCTTCTTTTGACTGCTCATAGTATATCCATTATTCTTCACCAGTATAACAATTCAAAGACATCAAGTCTCCTTTGTTAATTCAATTTGTTAATTCAAGAACCTTAAGTTAATGGAGAAGTAACAAATAACAAGAATGCAGAATATTTTCAGATCAGTGATTCTGAAAATGTGTGCCTGGGATTAGCAATATCAACATTAGCATCATCAGTAATTTGTTAGAAATGTGAATTATTATGTTCCTACCCTGTGATGCCAAGAGAACGAACAGGTATGTCTTGGAGAGGGTGCAGCCGGAGTGCTCTTTGGAGGCAAGAATTATGAGGCTTTGAGGGGCTATTCCTTAGAGAAGGACATGACGCTGGGAAAAGTGGAGGGTCAGAGAAAGAGAGAAAGACCCTCAACCAGGTAGATTGACAGGATGACTTCCACAGTGGACTCTTGTGTGTCAGGAAGTGTGAAGATAGCACAGAATAGAATGGGGTTCAGATCTTTTGTTCATAGTGTCACTATGAGTCGTACTTGACTTGATGACACCTAACAGCAACAACAACAACAACCCTGTCTCTTAGCTTTGGGAGCATAGTTCAGAGAGAGTTGCACTGCTAATCTAAAGGTTGTGCCTCTCTGGAGGTTTGACTACACTAAGACCTCAGAGTGAGAACTATGGCTTCCCTCTCCTGTGTGATTTACGGTCTTGGAACCCTATTAGAGGGTCACCTGTGATTTGGTTCCCACTTGATGCCTGTGAGAAAGAGACCATATCTCTACTAATTAAGAGAGCTTGGTGGCATTGTGGGCTACACGTTGGCTTGCTAACCAGAAGGTCTGTGCTTGGAATCTGTCATTTCACAGGAGAAAGATGGGGCAGTCTGCTTCTGTTAAGATTTACAGCATCAGAGGAAGGTCATGGTGAGTCTAAATCGTCTTTGTGGCATCATGTTTGTTTTTTGGTCTTCTATTCAGGGAGTGGGGTTGAACAATCTGTGTTTCAACATTCCCTACATAGGATTATAATTGGGTTTATGGTTTGGTAATTAATGATTTATAGGATGACCAAAACAAGTTCTTGCTAGTATTTAACAGTTAGGAAGATGTGAGAATTAGTGTGATAGCAGTGGGAAAGGAGACTCCTAGAGGAAGAAGTTTTAGAACTGTTGTTGTTTGGTGCCAGTGATTCGACTGTGACTAATAGCAACCCTGTGAATAACGGAGCGGAACCCTCATCTCTAATACACATGAGTCCGTTGTTAACAGTCACTGGGTCAGTCCTACATGTTGAGGTTACTCTTTTTTGCTGACCCTTCATCTTTCCAAGCAGGATGTCTTTTTTCAAGGACCAGCTCCTCCTAACAACATGCCCAAATCATTTAAGATGAAGATTCACTATCCTTGCTTTCAAGCACTTGTAAATAGATATGAGATGTAATAGAGAAGATTGTAATGAAAAATGTTTGGTTGAATATTGCTATTAACAGAAATACATAAGGAAAAAGATAGTCTGCGAGTGGATGATAGGTTTCATTTTCAGGTGATAGATTTGACTTTGGTTATGCTGACTTTGATATGGTGGAGGATCATAAAGTAACCTTGTGTAGCAGGCGTGAAGGCAGAGTTAAAGGAATCTGTTTGTGTTGAGTCTGAAGTGAAGCATTGAGTACAGAGAAGTTTGCCGAACTGCTTCTTTTCAATCTAGTAGTCCACAGTAAACACTCTTGGCACTAGCAGCCAGGAAATAAAAAACTTATTGTTTGGAAAGTCGGCTGTCAGAGAGATCTCCAGAGTACTGAAGAGCAATGATGTCACTCTTGAGACAAAGGTGCCCTTGATGCCGGCCATGGTCTTTGCAATCACTTGCTGTGTATCACAGAGCTCGACAGTGACTACGAACGATAGGAGAATTGATGTCTTTGAGCTGTGATGTTAGAGAAGAGTATTGAATAAACCATGGACTGCTAAGAAAATGAACAGATTATTCCTGGAGAGGGTTAAACCAGGCTGCTCCTTGGAGGCAAGGATTCTGAAGCTTCGTCTGACATACTTTGGATATGTTGTGTGGAGGTACCAGTCCTTGGAAAGGGACATCATGCTTGGGGGAGGTGGAGGGACAGTGCAGGAAAGGAAGACCCTCTATGAGGGGAATTGATTCAGTGACAGGGATAAATGGAGGTGGTTGTGTCAGAGACAATAAGATTGGCACAGGATAGAGCAGGATTTAGGGCTGTTGTACATGGCAGCCATGAGTCGCAGGTGATTTGATAGCACATAACACCACCACCAGTTTACATTTGCAAAATTTTAAGTTCCTCTCTGCATTTTCGTTAATCTTTCCAAACTTTGCTTTGCAGTAGGTGCGCTCATCTCCAAGTTACAGAATTAGATATACTGAGATTTGTCCCTGGGTCACACAACTAGTAATGGCAGAGCTGGAGCTGCAATGCACCCTCTTTGGACATGAATCTGTGCTTTTGCTGAATTACCATATGACTTTGTGCCGAGTTATCTCTGCCTCCTTTTTTCTACCTCTTTAAATTTTGTCTACTTATTTTTTTTTAATGAATATAAACCAGTTCAACAGTTTCTCCACTAGTGATAAGGATTAAGAATGGTGTCACTCTCCCCTTTCCTTTCTGAGTTCTTCCTCCCTCCTTAACATAAACTCCCTGCCCAGTAGAGGCCCTGTCTAATATTTTGAAATGACTCTTGCTAATTTGATCCCATAGAAATAGTTCTTCAGTGAATAAGGAGATCCTTCCCTCACCTCTTCCACCTTACTGCCTCCTCTTCTGGAGTAAATGTCAAAGTGTGGTGTTTTCCAAATGTTGCATTTGAAAACAAAAACAAATACATTAGCTTAAAGATTTGTGATGAATGATAAATTTAGTACTAGTTCAAGAGAAGAAATAGGAATTTATCACTGACTTTTCTATACTAATATTTTTCTTTATGTGCAATTAGTGACTTTATGATGGTGATCTTTATTTTTAACATCTTTTTTCAGCTATGAATTCGTGAAATATCTTCGACAATACATATGCAACACTTTAGGGTCTATGATTGAAGAAGAAATGGAAAAATGCACCTCTGATCAAAATCAGGGTGAAGAATCTGGCTATGACACAGTTGTACAGCATGTTACTAAAAGAACCCAAGAATCTAAAGAGTGAGTATGCCTACATTAATAATTTCAAGTAACTTTTGACACCAGGGATCATTGAAAATATCTCTAACTTATGCTGTCTAAGTGGTTCCATTATAATAGCTGGAATGACTCTCTAAAACTAAGTATCAGATTATACCTTTATTTTACAAAGAATGCTACTTTTACATCTCACTTAATAGTGAAGTTTGTGCTTTTCCCCTGTGGTCTGCCCATTATAAGGCCCATTATAAACCTTCTGCTCACTCTTTTACCTCATTTCTTGCCACCTTCTCTCTCTCTTCTCTGCTCTAGCCACCCTGAACTTGGACCTTCTCAAAAAGCCAAACTGGCCTTCGTGTTCCCATTACTTTCACTACCAGAAAGCTTTTTTGTGAAATATATGTGTGATTTGCCCTACACTTTTATTTGATCTTTTCCAAATTATTTTATAGGAAAGGATTTTCTTAACCTCCTTATGTAAAAGAGTAGTCTTTCCCTGTTGCTGTCTCATTCTTTTATTTGCTTTATTTATTTTTTTATTGGTCCTTACTGCTACAGATTAATAAAGCATAATGTATATACTGATTTTTTTTAAGCCATGTAGACATCAAATTTTTATATTTTTGCCTATTTCTACGCAAGAAAAATGCCTGAAATATTTTAGGTGTTTAATGGTATTTGTTGAATAAATAAATGAAAGCTTCTCCTATCAGTATAATCAGATTTATTTTACAGATATTTAAAGTAATTCTGGCTTTAGCACTACATCATTGTCTCTTTTGTTCCTTCTCATAAATGTACTCACCACACATTTAAGGAATGGCTACTATATGCTAGGTTCTGGGGCAGTAAAGATAAGAAGTCCTGATAGCATAAGTGTAACCAAGAGGTGACAGTATGAATGTATCTGGGGCTCCTCAGTAGAAAGATGGGCCATCTCCTCTCCCAGAGATTTGTGACCTTGGAAGCCTGATAGAGGGCCACTGTGAGTCAGCACTGACTTGAAGGCAGGGAATTTGGTTTTTGTTTTTGAAGAAATAAAAATGAACAGGGTATTTCCTACTCTCTAGTCATCAAGAGTGTAATAAGGTTCTTGACATTACATTGAAATAGAAACTTCTCTTACAATATAATAAATGGCTTGATACATGGGAAAGGGCACTTGGACATGCCAAGGAAGCATAATACACAGTAAATAGGTATGACAGAGAGACACCAAAAACCAAAAAAAGTTTGAGAAACTCAAACAAGACTTTCAGTGAGGTGGATTGACACAGTGACAGCAGCAGTGGGCTCACACAAAGCAGCCGTTGTGAAGTTGGGGAGGACTAGTTAAATAGAGTGATGTGGTGGCCCAAACCCAGTCACAATTGTCAAGATGGTTCCAGACCAAGAGCATTTTATCTTTGTTGTATCCAACAATATTGAGAAGCAAGGCATTTTTCTTTTTTTGTAACAGTTTAAAAGGTGGAAGATCTGCCAGTGAATCCATCCAGGGACTCTGTTGTGTTTTAGTTTATTGTTCTAGCTTATCTTAGAGCAAGGCAAGACACTTTTTTTCCCTGTAAAGGGCTACAGTATAAATATTATAGGCTTGTGAGCTGTTCTAGTACTAAAACAGCCATAGGAAATACTTAAACGAAAGAGCCTATATGTTTTCCATACAAGAGAAGAAATTTTAATGAAATGCAAGTGATAGGTCAGATTAGTCCTGGAGTCTTGCCATCATATGCATGCCAGATGTCTGACCTTTAATACTTTTACTGTGTTCTTCAGATATACATTGTTGTCTTCTTTCCCAGCCACACAGAAAGTAGTCATTGATAAAATTTCTGCTTAATTTTGATGTTTTAAAAACCATGTCTTTTGACTGAAGAAGTCATGAAGTTGAAAGTTGATTAGGTTAATGGAGACCTTGAATTGAAGCCAACTGGATGCTGTAGATAGACGGGTGTTGCTCTGCATTCTTGAGCAATGGAACAGAATAACAAAAAGTGGTTATTGAATATTTTCATAGTTTTTCAAGCTATTTAGGAAAACCAGACTAAAGTAGCAGTAATTATGAAAGGATATGTAGGGAAAGGTTGAACTCCAGTCATCAGAAAGACGGTTTTTATCTACGGAAAAATACAGAGTTAGAACTGGAATGTTTGTTTTGGGGTTTTCACATATAAGTTGGACTGCATGATTTTGAAAAATCTTTTACCTCATTTTAATTAACTTTTACCCTTTGGCATATCTTTGCACCACTCTGATTGGTGGTCAATTTTTTAAAATATTAAATGCAATAAACAGAAGACTGTAGAGGTGTGAAGGGCAGGATGAGCAAATGAAACAGCTTTCTAGGTTTTCCCTAAGCCATGTTTATTAATATAACTCCATTCTTATGGTTAGAAGCTCTACTCTTACATAGCAGACATTTTGGTATTGTTGTTACATGCCATCGACTTGCCTGCAAATCGTAGTGACCCTATGTACAACAGCCCTTGTACCCTGCTCTATCTTGTGCCAGTGTCACTGTCTCCAACACACCTACCCCTATTACCTCAGTCACTGAATTAATCCATTTCATTTGCTTCACTGTCTCTCCACCCTCCCAAGCATGACATCCTTCTCCAAGGATCAAGTCCCTCCTTGTAACATGTCTGAAGTATGTCAGACAAAGCTTCAGAATCCTTGCCTCTAAGGAGCAGCCTGGTTTAACCCTCTCTTGGATGAACCATTTTGTTTTCTTAGCAGTCCATGGTATATTCAGTACTCTTCTCCAGCACCACAGCTCAAAAGCATCAATTCTCCTTTTATCCTCCCTAGTCATTGTCCAACTCTCTGATGCACAGCCAGTGATTGCAAAGACCATGGCCTGTATCAGGTGCATCTTACCTAAGTTAAAAATTGCTTGCTGAAGGTAAATGGAACTATTTTGTGATACTAATAAATATTTTATCTTTATTTTTTTGTGAAACCTTTTCAATTTGAATACTATAAGTTTAGATTTGGTAATGATTCCAGCATATATTTTTTAATTTTATTTTATTTTATACTAGTTTATTTACAAAGTTTGAACACATGGTTTTTCCCACCGGATCTTTCCCATTTCTGTCACCACCTCCACCTGTCAAATTGTGCGACCCTGTGGTTAACCTCCCCTCGCATCTTCACCCATATGCCTCCTCCCTCCCCCCCTTGGATCTCATCCTCATTCTATTGAGCATATATTTTATAGTGATAAGTTCCATACATTTTTGATTAAGTATATTACGTATAATTGAAAGATTTCAAGTTCCTCATGCCATTCTTGTGAGAGGGACATCATGCTTCGGAAGGTAGAGGGTCAAGGAAATGGATTGACATTGTAACTGTAGCAGTGGGCTCACATGTGTCAGAGAAATGATGAGATAGGATAGGACAGGGTTCAGATCTGTTGTTCATAGGGTCACTATCAGTTGTATTTGCTTCAGTGGTACCTAACAACCATAGCAACAATGTTCCAATCATTTGCTTTGTTAATTTAGATATCTGGACTTGCATGCATGTGATTTTTCTAGGTGCTTTCAGCATTAAGCCCTTCTATATGTTGACCGTAATGCTTGTTCCTGTTGTAGCTTGAAAAATAGATGTTGGAGAATAGTACAGAGCTCATCTTGTTAGTATTAGAAAGATTGAGTGTATACCTGAACTTATTGTATTTTAAAGTGTTAAAATAGCTAATTTATTTTTACACAGTATATTTGTTTTTATTACATTGAGCAGAGTGTTTACCCTTGGTGACAACTCATTATTGTTTAAATAAATTCTTTATTACCTGAACAAAGTGAAAGTGTACAGTTGTTAATTTATTAGGCACAAGTTACTAACGTGTTATGTAAAATCCATGGAGATTAACTTTATTTCTTGATTTTGGAGAAAAAATAATGGCTTCATCTCCATCTGTCGGTAATATTAATATAATTCTTACTCATCTATTTCTAGCAGTTTTATTAAGCTTATTCTAAGAAGAGTATTAAAATATCTTATTAGTCAAATAATGGAGGTGTTTTAATGCTAAAAGCAGAGTTTTATGTGGTGCTGTTAGGAAATTACTCTTTATCTCTGAGTAAGCCAGTTCATTTTCGTGTTTTAGTTCAGCTGCGTGTAAAAATGAATACAATTATAATTACCTTGCAAAGATCTTAAGTGACTTAATGAATGTTTGTTTTCTACTGTGTGAACCATGGATGAGATTTTTTAAATTCAAAAGAGTATTGTTTTATTTTAT